GCCCCGTCCTACCCCCGAGGACATGATTTGAACAAACTTGAATCTACACTACCTAAGGATGCTTCCATATAAATATGATCAATCAGGGTTTTGCTGTTCTTGAGAAGAAGATTTTTAAAGATTTTTCCTTTATATTTCTATGTAAAACTTTGATCTTCCATTGTGGCCCCGCCCTACCCCGGGGGTTATGATTTGAACAAACTTGAATCGACACTACCTGAGGATGCTTCCATATAAATAGGATCAATTATGGCTTTGTCATTCTTGAGAAGAAGATTTTTAAAGAATTTTCCTATATATATTTTTATGTTAAACTTTGGTCAGCCATTGTGGCTCCGCCCTCCCCCCGGTGGTCATGATTTGAACAAATTTAAATCTACACTACCTGAGGATGTTTCTCCATAAGTTTCATTTTTCCTGGCACAGTGGTTCTTGAGAACAAGATTTTTAAAACATACCATCAAATTTACATTCATTCCCAATTATCTCCCCTTGAATGAGGGTGTGGCCCTTTATTTGAACAAACTTGAATCCCCTTCACTCAAGGATGCTTTGTGGCAAGTTTGGTTGAAATTGGTCCATGGGTTCTAGAGAAGAAGTCGAAAATATGAAAAGTTTACAGACAGACAGATGGACAGACAGACAGACAAACAGCTAGATAGACAAAATGTGATCAGAAAAGAGCTAGAAATGAAACATTCCTCACCACAAAAGCCAGAAGAATATAGGGACCACCACCAGTAACATGTTTCTGGGAAGAACCAAACCAAGCAGAGATAAATATCAATAGTCCTGAATCTTCGATGCAGGACCAAGTACGAGAATTGCTACAAACACTACTCCGGAGACTTACCTATTATCCTATGATGTAACATACTTTGTCCACTGCAGCTGGTTCCCTCATAAGCTGGTAGCGAAGACAGTTCAGGATGTCCTGTCAACTTTGTTCCTCAACTTCCTGTCTTGGACAGAAAAGCAATAAGTGGAAATCTTTAGTGTTGCCTAGTGACTTTGAATTAAAAAGAAAGTTGCAAGATTGTGAAGGGGGGGGGGGGGGTTCTGATGCTGTGCATTTTAATTAAATGTACGAAATCTGTATTTCACAGTTTAATGCATTCATGTATTTTGTGAATTGTCTTAGGATTCGTGTAATAATTGTTGCTATGTATTATTAAGCACTAAATCTATTCAACTGCATGTGTAAATGGGGAAAATGTGAATATGTAAATGATGTATAATTGCAATGTGTAAAATGTGACATTTTCTTATATGAGGGAGTCAGTGTTCATGTAATTTTTTTTTCATTAATTATTTTATTTATCTTGATAAAATTATTTCAATTAACAATATTGTTTTTCTTACCAGTCTGATGAACTCAACAAAGGTTACAGAGGTGAATGGTAGAAATATGGGTATTACAGGTGTCAAAACTCTTCGTTGAAGACCAGACTGCATGCCGCACTGTAAAATCACCATTTTTGATCTTTAAAAGGGGAGGCTACTCCTGAAATCAAAGAAATTGTCATAAAAATGAGTAACCTGATTTTCTTTAGGTCTCACACAAGGAAATAATTTCACTATATGTTACTATATAGCTTTAATTAAATAAATTAATTAACTAGACTCTCAGCAGATAATTCATGAATGAGAAAAAAGATTAATGCTTAGACAAAATTTGAGATCAGAAAAAATATACCCCTTATGCGGCTTTTAAGAAAGAAAATTGAGACTAAACATACCTATACCCCGAAATACACATGGGCAAACAGCCAACACACCATCGAGGAAGTTACATCGATCATGCGTACCTAAAAAAAAAGAGTTCCCTTTGATTCAGTGGCACAATTCTGCTGATATGATATTCCTAGTGCATGAGTCCAAAATTAAAACTGTAGACCTACGTAAAGTTCCTGAAAATGAAAAAAGAAAAGAAATATTATTGTCTCTATATACATCATACATAGAACTACATTTGTTCATTTTAATTAGCTATCTCCTTGCATAAGACCTTTAAGGGTAATTTTATGCTATTTACCATGTGCACTGATTGCCATAAAACTAAAGAAAAAATACCAGCCTTACAAAGTCACTTAACCATGACCTTTGACATACCTTACTAAGAATACCCTGGACAATTTGGTTTAACTTAAGACTTCTGAATTTTTAAATGCAGGTTTTGATAAATTAACCATTTAATATACTTATGAGCTCATAAAACTGTTCTTTAAAACTGTATGATAAAGAGTGTAAAAACTTTGAAACATGTTTGGAAAGTATTATCACACATGTGATATTATGGGATAAATTATCACCACAGAAAGATCAAAGAAAATCACTGCAGATATGCAACAATAATTCTTATCATTGTTTATTGTATGTCAAGTCTAGAATATGATATATCATTACAAATATTATGATTTTTAGCCGGGCACATTGCTCGTAGAGCAATGCTCAGCTATTGCGACGGTGAGCAACAGAAAATGCTGCTTCTTCACCGCCAAATTGAGTTTACGAGTAAAAGTATGGTACGTGCACCAGCCGCTGTTGAGAAAACAAAATCCATTCAACACCTTAAGAAATAGTAAATTGAATATTTTTATCATAATATTAAATTGTTTAATATTTTTTCCTGGCTCCTTTGACTAATATTTTACAAAGTATAATTCAACGGGTGCGAAAGGTTTTCACCAGGTATCCCTGTCTGCATCATATTCTATAAACAATATAATTAAAATTAGATGTTAGATCTGCTCGCATACTCGCCACACTAACATCTAACAAGTCATCCCATTGAGGGTCACGTAAGAGGTTAAATTCGGAACGCCTCAAGATTTATTCGCTTCAACAATATATGATGATTTTGCCAGCTGCGATTTGATTAATTGATAGAATTTGACCTCTGACGTGACCCTCAACGGGATGTTGTTAGATGTTAGTGTAGCGAGTATGCAAGCGGATCTAACATCTAATTTGAATTAGATTGATTCTATAAATAAAGGTTGTACTATCAGGCTAACACAAATGCAGGGAACATCATTAATGACTTAATGCAAATCTCCCCGCTGAGGACACATCAGTGCAGAGACGTTTGACCTTAATCTTGCTGCATCGGTGTTTATTTACTTCTGTTTGTATATAAAGCCGGATTACCCCGACACAATACGTGATAAATATTTTTCGCTGTTAATTTCTAGCTATATTTTATTTTATTTTTAAAACTATTTAATATTATACATGCCATTGAGATATTTTTGTGTGTATTACATATTCTCTAAACGTCTGAACGTGATTTTAAACTGTCACCACAGTCCTTGTTCATTATCCTGTAAATGAGCCCGGCTCAATACATTTACTATAAAAATAATTGGACAAATTTGTGAATGACAATATTCAATGATGCATAGCAATTAATCTTTTCCAGACATTCCCCTTCTCCTAAAAATTTGTCGTGTTATTTATTTATTTATTGCAAAGTCGTCCCTGGACTAGGGCTACGGTCAATGCAGCTGCAATGGGCCATGCAATTTCGAACCCTGCGTGGTGAGAGTTTGTCCCGAGACACAGTTAGATTATTCTAACTAGCACCAATATAGAATAAATCATACCGATTAATCAACATCACTACAATATGAGGACGTAAAAATAGGATAAAACATCCTTTAGCTGTTTAGTCCAGCAATAAGCCACTAAATTGTTTTTGATGTACCTTCAAACAAATCAAATTAATGTTCTTGATTCCCACTTTTCACGTTATGACTGACTTAGTGCTTCTTGATACCAAAACAATTTTTCTATTACCTATAATTTTGACTTTAGGTTGAATTCGTCAATTTCATGCTTGCGAAGTTGTGTCAATGTGTGCATTACGACCGCTCCGGCTACTTTCGTTATTTCTAACCAATGAAAATTGTCCTTACTTTTCTGTTGCGTCATGCAATTTTATTGCACGCATCACTGAATTGTAGAACACACATCACAAGATTTCGAATATACATCACAAGATTATCGAACATACATCACAAGATTTCGAATATACATCACAAGATTATCAAACATACATCACAAGATTTCGAATATACATCACAAGATTTCGAACATACATCACAAGATTATAGAATATACATCACAAGATTTCGAATATACATCACAAGATATTAAATATACATCACAAGATTTTGAACATACATCACAAGATATTGAATATACATCACAAGATTATAGAATATACATCACAAGATTTCGAATATACATCACAAGATTTCGAACATACATCACAAGATTATAGAATATACATCACAAGATTTCGAATATACATCACAAGATATCGAACATACATCACAAGATTTCGAATATACATCACAAGATTATCAAACACACATCACAAGATTTCGAATATACATCACAAGATTTCGAACATACATCACAAGATTATAGAATATACATCACAAGTTTAAGAATATACATCACAAGATATTGAATATACATCACAAGATTTTGAACATACATCACAAGATTTTGAATATACATCACAAGATTTCGAACATACATCACAAGATTTTGAATATACATCACAAGATTTTGAATATACATCACAAGATTTCGAACATACATCACAAGATTTTGAATATACATCACAAGATTTTGAATATACATCACAAGATTTCGAACATACATCACAAGATTTTGAATATACATCACAAGATTATCAAATATTGCAACGTTTGACATGCCATAGCCTAAGACCATAAACTTAGAACAGACTAAAGTAAAAATTTCAAACTAATTTAACCTTTGAAAGACTTGTTATAATATGAAACAAAATTTTCAACATATGTTTGAATTTTAATGTTATACAAAGTAGCAATTTTGTAAGTTAATATGTTACACGAAATTAAATTTATTAAAAATCCAATTTTTGACTTCAGTCTATTATCAGTTTATGGTCTTGGGCAGTTTGTTTCTCCATTTTTACTGAGCTGTAGTGACCTTGACCTACTTACATTGTTTTACTTTTCTCTTTTTGTTTATCTGTACTGATGTGTGACGTAGATTGTTGTCTCAGTCTTGTGTCATTGTTGTCCTCTGTGCTCACATTACCATTCTTGGAATTCAGAACCTGATAAATGTTACATTTCAAAACTGTCGCATAATTGAAATGACCATTAGGTCATGCTTTATTACTCGAACATCTGCTGATTATCAGGACGTTTAGCTCATACACTTCTAATTTTATGAATATCCTATTGTATGAAGAAGAGGATAGAAAAGATTCATTTAAGGACTAATAATCCTCTTCTCTTTAATTCACATTTTTTCAAAAAACTTCAAAAACTTCCCAACATTGATTTTTATTAAGAGTAATACCAGCAGGTTAAAATGGTAAACATTTTAAGATTTGAAGCGCTGCTTAATTTTTTTCAGAAATGATTTTTATGTCAGATCATGCTATGAAGAAATTTTAAAACAGACAAAAATTTAAAATATGATTATACGAAAATCATATTTAGTATCATATCTATTAAATCATATAGAAAACAATAAAACGCTGCTTCCTAAGTCATGGTTTAGCTATATTGTATATTGATTGTAAGGAAAAAAAACATCTGTTCTCTTTCTTCTAAATATTTTCATACTAAATAAAAATTCTGTATTTGGTACTTGAAAGATAAAACCGTTATTAAAAACATAGAACTTATTCGAATTAAAGGGATATTAAAACTGGATTTAAATGTTTTTTAAATAAACAAAAAAACATTTGAAAAGTATAGTAAAAATAAATAGGTGATATTTCTATCATTTGTAATATATTTGATCAAATCAAATACTCACAGGTTTTTAAAAAAGAAACTCTGAAAAAGAAACTATGAGTAGTAGTCGTATTTTTAACTTGGAGAGTTATATTTCTTATCAGAGGGTCTGAGCAGCCCTCATGTCATATCCTGAATGGGACACTGCATTTTGAAATATCCACTCGGGTAAAAAACAAAGGAACCTGAAAGGAGGCATATCGGAGGCTTGTTGATCCTCGACATTTATAATCTTTTGTAATTTAATTAAAAATGGCGCACCTAGTATATGTAGAGTGTTTATTTCTACTTAAGTTTTCGCCTGTATCCATCCCATTTCAGCTCTGAAAACTATAAATGACCTAAACAGGAGTATGCTTAAGGTTTATCTTTAAACTTTGGATTGTTTTGACAAATGCTCAAATGTCTTATTAATTCTTCAGCATTTTGTGATCGTAACCGCTTTTTTTTTTAACCTTTATGGCATGTTTTCGGCATTGAAAGGACAACGACAAGTACATTATTATTGCCGTGGAGAACAGCGGTATTATTACAATAAGTTCGCATGTGTTACTTGTTAGAATTATTATTATTATTATGTTTATTCAGGCAAAGAGTCAAATTCATTACAAATCATAACACAAATTACATTCCAAAATTAATTAGGGATCGCTTAAAAGTTCTAGCACATACATGTAGCTATCACATTAAAACAATATCACTCCAGGTATTATCACAGTTATCATTATCACAGGATTATACAGATCTCAGAACCAGATCTTATCACATACAACACAAATAAACATATTTTTAATCAATCTTTGCCTAGGATAACCCATGAAAGCAATATATAAAACATGCTTATTTCCAATGGGGTCCTAAGATGGTACAAGTTGATTATAATTTAATTGAATAAGACAGCATAGACAAAAAATAAAAAAATAAAATTGAGGATTACATAATTTTCCTAGCCTGAATAAAATAATTTGACATATATATACATAATCACAGTTTCAGGTTAATACAAATTATTTTAAAAAGTTTCATTCCCTTGTAAAAATATTATATATAAATACTTTCTTCCATCCTTCGAGCTTCTTGTGTAAGATGCAACTTGACAGCAGATTTAAAACTAGCTCTATTGGCTATAGTTTTTACTTCCAATGGAAGAGAATTCCAGTTTAAAATGGCTTGATAATAAAAATTTGAATCATTGTATGCTCCAACCCTGGGTACATGATAATTAAAATTGGACGCTCCCCTAGTAGCATTATTATTCCTATCAAAATTCTCATTTAGATAATTTGGTGCTAGGCTATGATTGATGTTAAAAACATGATTTAGTCTTAACTGTTTTACACGATCAGATACACGTAGTGTATTTATTGAATCTAAAATATCGCAATTGATCCTGGCTCTAGGATTCAGATTTAAAATAAATCTTACTGTTTTGTTTTGAAGAACTTGTAACTTATTTTTCAAAGATTTGGACAGACTTTCGTACCATGCTGATGAACAGTAATCAAAATAGCACTGAATTAGTGCAGATGCTAATGTTAATCTGGATCTTTTATTTAACCATTTTCCATTCCTGTATAAGAACTTCAGTCTAGAATTGACCTTGGTCACGATCTCATCTACTATTAAGTTACATTTTAGAAATTTATCAATTGTGATTCCTAGATACTTAACAGAGTCACTGGATTTGATAATATGATCGTGACATTTAACCTCAAATTGACCTTCATTTTTTAATTTGCGACTTGGACCAAAAAGGATAGACTCTGTTTTTCCAAGATGGAGAGATAACTTATTATCTATTAGCCACTCGGAACACTTCTCTAGCACCTTCCCAAGTTTGTTAGAGATAACATTAGGGTCTCTGTGTGAGCATAAAATAGCGCTATCATCAGCATAAAGAATGAGTTTACAATCTGTATCTATACTGATGGACATATCATTAACATAGCATAAAAACAATAAAGGGCCTAAAATGCTCCCTTGGGGAACCCCACAAGTAATTTTCTTTGACTTAGATACAACACCTCTGCAACCCACCACCTGAGACCTGTCAGTTAGATATGACTTAAACCATTGATTATCAATTCCCATAATGTCTAATTTGTTACATAATATTTCATGGTCCACTGTATCAAACGCTTTTTGTAGGTCTAACATTATCATTCCTGTAAATAATCCCTTAGAGTTATTGTCCCTAATATGGTGCAACAAATGTATAAGGCATGTATCAGTAGAATATTTACTCCGAAACCCAGATTGAAACTCATACAACATGTTATTGTTATGTAAAAATTCCTTAAGTTGACAATAGACACTTTTCTCTAAAATCTTTGATACTACACTTAAAATACTCACTGGCCTGTAATTCCCTACTTGGAGTGGGCTACCCTTTTTAAATAAAGGCTTGACCCTAGCCTGTTTCATACTCTCTGGTACACATCCAGAACTTATTGATTGATTAATGATTGAAGTTATAGGTGATTTAAGAACCCTTGCTCCTATTTTTAAAAATTTTGCTGATACCTCATCAAGACCAGTACTTTTTGTTGTACTAAGACCACATAGTTCTTCATACACAAAAGTCTCCGACACAGGACTTAAAATAAGAGAATTGTTGTACAAATTTCTGTTTGAATAAAAACCTCTAAAATGATTTGACAAAACATTGTATGTGCCCTTTGCAGTGGGTAGAGCTTCCACCAATTTTGATGCAACTGTAGTAAAAAAGTTATTAAAATGATTAGCAATATCCATGTCATCACCGTAAATCTGGAAATTTTTGCTGTAGATAAATTTTTAGCAAATTTGCGGGTTCATTGCATTCGCAAAAATATTTTTCTTAAAAATAAATTACCAATAGGAAAATGTAAACAAAGCAATGTTAATTCGCAAAATTTTGAAACGTAAAAATTAATCAACACCATCTTGACCCGAATTCGCAAAATAAAATCGACGTAAAAATTTCCAGATTTACGGCATGACTAATATCATCATTAATATTTAAAACAATTTTTTTCTCTTCTTTCTTTTGATTTCTATAACCTAAATCTTTCAAATGTTCCCAAAGTTTTTTAGGATTATCCTTATTTTCTTCAAGTTTTTCTGTTACATACTCTGACCTAGCCTTTTTAATCTTTCTTTGAACCAAATTTCTAACCCTTGAAAAATTTTTCTGATCTTCATCTTTTTTGCTTTTTCTAGAAATGTTCAAAAGCCTATCTCTCTCATTTATAAGTTCTAAGATTTCATGATTCATCCAAGGTTCTGTTCTCTGTTTTAATCTCACTTGTTTTACAGGTGCAAATCTATTAACAATATTCAAAAATACTTCCTTGAATGCATTCCAGTTTGAATCAACACAATCAGATGATATACAAGATGTCCAGTCTACCTTTTCTAGTTCTTCAACAAACAGAGCAGAATCAAAATGTTTCATTGATCTAATCTTTACCGTGTTATGTTCTTTAATTTGACCTTTAGAAATTTTTCTTGTGCAAAAAATTAGATCATGATCACTGAGACCCATTGTGATAGTGCCTGCCTGAACATATTTTTCATCATTGTTTACCAAAATATGATCTATTAGTGAAGAGCCCATTTCAGTGATTCTAGTTGGAATTGAAATCAATTGGCTAAGCCCAAACAAATTTAGAACATGCTTATATCCTTCATATAATGGATTTTTCTTATTTTGCATACAAATATTAAAATCGCCAAGAATAATGTTATCTAAGTCAGATCTTAGACACCCTAGGCACTCCTCAAAATGTCCAAGAAACTGTTGATCCTGGGGTGGTCTGTAAACTGTACCCACTATAAAAGGTTTTGTGTTTGGTAGGTAGATTTCCGCCCAGACAGATTCTGTGTCATCTGAATTGATTTGTTGTTGAGAAAAAGCAAACTTATTGTTGATGAACATACACACACCTCCACCATTTCTATTTCCTTCTATCTTTGCGAATTACAGAGAAGCCCTCAATATGAATTTCTGAGTCGTTGACTGAAGAGTCTAGCCATGTTTCACATATCCCAATTACTGCTGCTTTCGTTTTTTGTGCTATGATTCTGATTTCAGACATCTTTGGTAGTAATGATCTTATATTTAAGTGTATAAAGTGCATGCCTCTACGCTTAAAGCATTGGAATTTTTCATCATCCATATCTTCAATACCGTTTGCTAAATCGTTCCTAGTAGGTGAATAACTTAAATGATCATTTTCGGATGGAGAAGGTGATGGAATTTCGAAAGATTGATTTCTCTCTGTCGTAAGCTTCATGCTACCCGTACAAGTATCACAATTAAAAAGATATTGCCTTTTTTCACAGATGTTTAAACTCTGACGAATTTCTGTTTTTAAACATTTGACGTGAGTTTTTTGATGACAACTGGTACACTCGGCAGCTTTGCTGCTAGCTATAACACCTCGAGAACAGATAGGGCACGGATGTTTTGGTGTGCGTGTCTTTGGGCCTGGATTTATATGGACATCCCCACTTCTCAAAAGTGTAAGGCAAGCAAAACATGTTAACGATGGTTTTAATACAATTGGATCATTTGATACAGAGTGTTCGATTAGGTAGTCTTTCCCAAATTTCCTCTGACTGTTTTTGTTTTTAGTTAATGGTTGACATAAAATTGATGATATAAGTTCATGGTCTGGTAAATCTGACAAGATGCATCATCGAGGTTGATAGGATTCTGGTATATCTGGTTTAAAATCCTTGTGCAAGTTAAAATTTAACAAAAAGCATAAAAAAATAATACTAACAAAAATGCCGTGCTGTCCTGCCATCCCGATCCCGACCAGATGCCCAGTATGTCCAAAATCCTTAAATATTCATTGCACGTTCCCAGTTGTCAACAATTATTTTATAAATAAATCCTAAATGCTATAAATGAAAGAAGCAAAAAAGCTGTACTTTACATGAAAAATAAAGTTTTATTCTGAATATATGGATGCTGACTCCTCCATGTCACCTGATCCCACCTCTGATGTTTTGGAGGTCCGTGTTTGCTCTACTCCTATTTTGTTATGTTTAATGGACTTTTGATATATAGTAAGATGTGAAACTAGTATGCAATTAGGATTTAAGCAGTTGCTGAAGACAGAAAAAACCTGCTCTAAACAGACAAGTTGATGATTAATTTTTCATACCGGTATTGAAGACACTACACTATTTACTGCTTGGAAGTCTGTTTGAAATTTTTTTTCTTCCATCTGCAAAGAAACACAAATCATATAAGAAATAGAAATAAAACCTTTTCAGTATACTTTAATTATTATGGTAAATTTTTGGTCTATGTATCTAGAAAAAACATCGTTAGATGAAGAGGGATTCAAAGTTAAGGCAGTCAGATTTAGAATAAAAAAGCCTTACTATTTATATGAAATTACTCTGTCAACACATACAGAACAGCTACAGGTTTTAATGCTAAAAGGGGTGCTTACAACAATAGAATGTACGCTGACTTTAAACGAGATTGTTAAATCTATGTAATATTAACTTATCTGCCAATAGTTTATATCGATTAAAAATGATCTTACTAGGATATGCTCTTGGGTAGCAAATAAAGTTTATGTCATATGAAGGTACATGTAATTGTGGAATAATTAAGCAAGGAAAGATCATGATAAAAAATGCTTGAGGTCATCTCGTTTGTCACATAGTTAAGTTTATTTGGCCATCTTTAATCAGTAAAACATCAAAATACGAAATAGAAGTAGCATTTTCATTTCAAAGGTTTATTATCCTGGGTAACCAAATTTTTACTCGTTCATGGGACGCTATTTTGTGGATAATGTTTTCATCAAGAAGGTTTGGTAATGACGATAAATGCCAGGTACCATTCATCGAGACGTAAATTCGTAAGAACACCCTAAGAAATCCACTCATATAACTAATATTTGACCCAAGGAACGAAGATGATTTCATTGGCAAATAAATTTTCATTTGAATATAAATAAACATTAAAAAAATTAATATAGTATTATTAGATTGACGTTGTGTACGTCCGCGTTTGTACGGTAAGACTAGGCTTGGTTTTTCTTTCTAGAATGTACAAGTATGTAAATAAATTACTTTGGTAAATTATTAGACAATTATTATCTGGGCAGTAAAATTATTGAACCAGCACTGGTGTTCTTACCTTCTCAGTAGCCTGTGTAATGAGATTCGCTTTATTTTCTAACTGGCTTTCCTTCTGCATACATTTCTCTTCTTTTATCTAACAAAAATGCAGCAAAGGATCAAAATATAAATATAATTTAATATATATTATAAGATATGAAGATGACGAACAGATATTAAAAAAGTCATTGAAATAATGCAAATTTTGAAATGGGCAAAGAAGGACTTAAAAACATCAGAGGCGCAATCGGGTGCCATGGAGGAAATGGCGACTCCTTTCGACCCGTCATTATCGATCATCTCCTTGTCCTGATCGGTCAAACAAAAAGCCGTAGACAATACAGTATAAAGATAATGACCTTAAATGAAAAACATCAGTCAACATTCGATTTAATGCATATTTGATAAATTGTATTTATTTATTTACCCAGACTTGCATTATTTCGATGATATCGGTCATGGAACTTGTCCAAAAATCAACCTGTTTTTCATATCTTACATCGTTTTTAGAAATTATTCAAACGAAGAAAGATTTTTTGTTTTAAAATTTTGTAGGGTCTTTTACTAAAACTACGTGGGCACTCGGTCATACATAGGAGGAGGATTGGCTATGCCTGGAAGGCTTGCCAAAACATTGTTACTTAGAGAAATATATATTCTACTATTGAAAATGATGGACAATAACTAGTTTGTGTACCTCTTTTGCAGTCTGAGTAGAGATATCCATTTTATTCTCTGCTTGGGATTCTGTTTGCAGACATTTCTCTTCCTTCCTCTAACAATGTAGTGAAAGATAAAATTATAAAAGTAAAACAAAAAAGTTTTGTTAAATTCTAGTAACTTACTTTAAAATACAACAATTACAGCTGGTTATGAAGAAATCCTGCTAGTTTTTTTTTTTTACTTTTTAACTTTAACTTTAGCTTTTTAACTTGCAAAATTATAACTTTAAAAGAAATTTTTAGATATTCCTGTTTCATTAACCCGTTTTCATTAGCTTACCTCGCTATTAGAAATATTCAAACGTAGAAAGATTTTCTTTTTTAAAATTTTGCAGGGTCTTTTACTGAAACGACGTAGGCACTCGGTCATACATAGGAGGAGGATTGGCTATGCCTGGGAGGCTTGCCAAAACAATTGTTACCTAGAGAAATAAATATTCTACTTTTGAAAATGATGGACAATAACTAGTTTGTGTACCTCTTTTGCAGTCTGAGTAGAGATATCCATTTTATTCTCTGCTTGGGATTCTGTTTGCAGACATTTCTCTTCCTTCCTCTAACAATGTAGTGAAAGATAAAATTATAAAAGTAAAACAAACAATAGGCCCACGGGCCTTATAGGTCACCTGAGCATTATGCAACAACTTTCCAATTATTGAATTTGATTCATGTTTTAAGCCAGATGCTATATGGCATTCACAATTTTGAAAGAGGCACCACTGATCATCATAACAATACACTTAGCAGTTGCTTAGCTTGGTTACTGAATACCCATACGCAGGGTAGGGGAACAAAAATGCATTCCAACTAATCAGTAATATTCAGCAATAAACAGTAGTGCTCCTAACACTGTGACAAAAACCCCTGACCCTAGGTCCACACATTGCACAAATTTTAAAAAGGCACCCTTAAAATTGCCTATCAAAAAATAAATAAATGTTTTATAAATACAAAGGAGCAGATTTCAAACAATTAATTCATTTTCAGTATATAAGTATAGCCCCTACCCCCCAACACTGACCCTGGGACCTTGAAATTCACAATTCTGCAAGATTAGGGCCCTTGTTCATCATAACTATATAGGTAGTTCATCTGCTTCATACCCAGAGAAAATTTTCAAAGATTTAATGTATTTTCACTATATAATCAATAGAGCCCCACCCTAACACCAGAACCCCTGACCCTGGGACCAAAAAATTCACAATTTTGATTGAGGCACTCTTGTTCATTATAACTATCCACTTAGTTAGTTTATTTGATACCCAGGAGCAGAGAAGAAAATTTAAAGAATTCATGTATTTTCACTATATAATCAATAGAGCCCCCCCCTAACACTAGAAGCCTTGACCCTAGGGTCATAAAATTCACAATTTTAGTTGAGGCACTCTTGCTCATCATAACTATGCACTTAGTTAGTTTATTTAATACCTAAGAGCAGTGAAGAAGATTTTTAAAGAATTCATGTATTTTCACTATATTATCAATAGAGCCCCGCCCTAACACCAGAACCCCTGACCCTGGGGCCATAAAATTCACAATTTTGGTAGAGACACTCTTGCTCATCATAACTATGCACTTAGTTAGTTTATTTAATACCTAGGAGCAGAGAAGAAGATTTTTAAAGAATTCATGTATTTTCACTATATAATCAATAGAGCCCCCCCCACCCACCCACACACACCAGAACCCTTGACCCTGGGGCCATAAAATTCACAATTGTGGTAGAGACACTCTTGCTCATCATAACTATGCACTTAGTTAGTTTATTTAATACCTAGGAGCAGAGAAGAAGATTTTCAAAGAATTCATGTATTTTCACTAGAGCCCCCCCCAACACCAGAACCCTTGACCCTGGGGCCATAAAATTCACAATTGTGGTAGAGGCATTCTTGCTCATCATAGCTATGCACTTAGTTAGTTTATTTAATACCCAGGGGCAGAGAAGAAGATTTTCAAAGAATTCATGTTTTTCCACTATATATAATCAATAGAGCCCCACCCTAACACCAGAACCCCTGAACCTGGGGCCATAAAATTCACAATTTTGGTAGAAGCACTCATTCTCATCATAACTATGTACTTAGTTGGTTTATTTAATACCCAGGAGCAGAGAAGAAGATTTTCAAAGAAATAATACATTTTCACTATATACTTAATATTTAGCCCCGCCCTAGCACTAGAACCCCTGACCCCAGGGCCATGAATTTCACAATTTTGGTAGAGGACTCAATGCTGATTACAATCATGGAAACAGTTTGACTGCTTGATGTCCAGGAGTAAAGAAGAAGATTTTTAAAGATTGCATTAATTTGAATGGTTTTGGCCCCACTCCTCAGGCCCCAGGGGGGCAGGGATCATGAAATTCATAATTTTTGTTCCCCTTCACCCATAGATGCTTTGTGCCAAATTTGGTTGAAATTGGTTCAATGGTTGCAGAGAAGAAGCTGAAAATGTTCAAATGTTAACATACGACGCACGACGCACGACACACAACACACAACACACGACGCACGACGACGGACGAAAACGGATAGCAATAGGTCACCTGAGTTTACTCAGGTGACCTAAAAAAGTTTTGTTACATTTTAGTAACTTACTTTAAAATACAATAATTACATCTCGCTATGAAGAAATCCTGCAAAGACAAATCTTAGTACATTAAGCTCATCCACATCAAATTTTAATTTAAACCCTATATAATTTGGATTAAAGAAGTCTCAATAAACAGGCTGTCCTTCCAAATATCCTTCAAAAGTTTATTTAGCATTTAACTTTAATTTATACTGATTTGTTGGTTTTGCATTGTAAATTATATTTCATTTCGTATATTATAATCGAAACCAACTACAGATGTGGGCGCACGACCAAAACTTGTTTCAAAATAATTATAAATTTTATTTTAAAAAATGTCAAAATTGTATTTATTTAAATTAACGTCTACTTAAGAAGAGGGCAATACTTCCTTTCGTCTTCAATTCAACATTTAGACATAGCGACGACGCATTATCAATTAACATAGTTTCTTTAAATCATATGTCGATTTGATATATCCTAGTGAACGGGAAACAAAGAGTTTACAAGCTCAAATGTCCATGAAACAATACAAAACAGAAGCAGAGTAAACACGGACCTCTGAAACATCAAAGGTGGGATCAGATGTCAAGGAGGAGTTAGCATCCCCTTTTGGAAAATGTGAAATTATAAAAATTCACCGAAATCAACAAAATCAAATCTTCGACATTATAACTCTATATACAACCTTTTCCAACGAAAAATTAAAATCCAGGCTTTTTAATATCATTGACTGCTGCTTTTTCAATAAAAATGGAACTTGTAAATCAAATAACATTTATTTCTTTTTTATTTAAAAACCATCCTTATTGTGCACAGGTATACTCTGAAGTTAATAATGAATGATGCTTCAGTGTCTGATTGACAATATCTGTTGACCATGGCATTCCCAAGATTACAAATTATGCTCTATTATTAGCAGACTTATTGTATATTGTCAGCAAATTAAATGTATCATTGACTCAAATGCTGACTGAAGTTTTTCAAACTAATTGTTAGTCCATTATTTATACAATGAATTGATCACAAGTATATGAGTTTATCATTGAAAGTAAACCAGTTCGCTACTTCAACCGTCGACACAAATACTAATCGTTACAGGCCATTACTTCAGATGTTTCTCGATCATGACAAGGAGCACACAGAGGGTGTGACCGGTTGGCGGAGCATGTCCACTCCTCCATGGCACCTGATCCCACCTCTGATATTTTGGAGTTCTGTGTTTGCTCTACTCCTATTTTGTATTGTTTTATGGATCTTTGAACATGAATATTATTAGTTATCTCCATATGCTTCATTGTTTTAAATTTTTTGCATGGTCTTTTACTAAAACAAGCACCTGGTCGTATATGGGAGGAGGATTAGCTCAGTCTTAGAATGCTTGCCAAACATTGTTGCATAGAGAAATGAATATTCTACTCTTGAAAATGATGGACAATAGCTAGTTTGTGTACCTCCTTTGCAGTCTGTGTAAATATATCCATTTTATTCTCTGCTTCGGATTCTGTTTGCAGACCTTTCTCTTGCGTCATCTAACAATGAAGTGAAAAATACTAAAATAAAAGAACAAAACAAGTTTTGTTGAATTTTAGTAACTTACTTTGAACTACAACAATTGCATCTGGCTATGAAGAAATCCTGCTAAAAATATCTTAGTTAAGGTTTCGTCAAAGGTCAACATGTCTAAAAAATTATTTTCTACAATTGCTCCAAAACTATGTGTGGTATAAAGTCAAAACGTTTACAGTTTTTAAATATATCACTGATAAATAGATAGAAAGTATAACTTGATTAAAAAAAATTAAAGAGATATTTTTTGAGAAAAATTGTATCAGAAAATGTGCATATTTAAAAAAAATGCACCTGCTTAAGCTTAATTCTGTCCTTTTTGCAGATCTGTAGCTCTCCAAAAAATATATATTGACAGACCGGAGAGCTACAGTGCCACCCATTGAAAAAACTGTATATTTATTGCGCACAAAAAAGTGCGCACGGTTCTGGATTAATTCTTCCAAATTCTTACCTCTTTTGCAAGAAAGCTAGATTCTAAAAGATTCCTTACACCTCTATCAAGCACTTTCGTAGTTTACATCTGTACGAAGCGCGTTGGAACGAAGAAAAGAAGATATTTTCATACGCCAACATTCCGCCAAAAATATAGTCCTTGCTAGTTTTCAAACGCAGGTTACCATTTCTATTTAAAGTTGTACGTTTCTGATGAGGAAAGAAAAATATGGTCTTTTAAATTCCTTACACCTCAAGATATAAGACATATAAGCAAATATACTTTGAATGTTTCATCTAGTCAGAAACCAGAGAAGAATCCTACCTTAAATCATGGAAAACTCCTACAAGTCTGTTTTTGCTTTAGTTGGAAGTTTTAACGAAAAATGTCAACAAAACCCATTGTTACAGGAAATAAGGAACAAAAAATAATTTCTTTATATTGACCTGCAATAATTTCTTATATTGACCTGGAAGGTTACATGATTCTTTATATTGACCTGCAATGATTTCTTATATACCTGGAAGATTCGTGCAGGTCAATATAATGTAGTATTTTTCTAACATTGTTGTATCTTAGCCAATCAGAGAGAGAAATTATTCAATCATATAATAACACAGAGAATCCTTTCAAGATAAATACATATTTGCAGCTTAAAACATTTAGCTTAAGCTTCCTTAGTTTTCTGCATTGAAGATTATATCCGATTTCGTATATTATAACCAAAACTAACCATAAATTTTGGCAGGCGGCCAAAACTTGCTTCAAAAAATGATAAATTTTTACTCAAAAAATGTAATATTATTTATCTAAATAAACTTCTACATAAGAAGGTGGCGATCCTTCCTGCTGTCTTCAAGTCTACATTTAGATATAGCGACGACGCATTATGAAACTCGAAAATTTACTTACCTTGTCATTGGTCATTTGCAAAATTATTTTGTTAAAACATTCTGATTTTACAGACAAGTAGTCTGAAGTCGACATCAAAAAAGATGCTTGGATTTTTGATTTACAATATCTATGTTGTTTTTTTAGACCATGTCTTCCTACAATCTATTGGAATTCCATGGGTACCAACTGCGCCCCGTTATTAGCAGACCTTTTTTTGCTTTCATATGAAGCAGAATTCGTGCAAAATTGTATGCGTGAAACGAAGAAAACACTTGCTGTGGTCTTCAACTCGAAATTTCGATATATCGACGACGAATTGTCAATTAACAGTCATGGTAAAAAGAAGGTACGTTAGGCACCAAAATCCGCCTAGTCCCAAAATCTGGTGATAATATTTAAATATTTTGTCTTGGATACCCCTGTTCTAAATCAATTTATTTTTTGAAAATATCTCAAACCGTTTTCTATACACAACTCACTAAAAATGCAATGTTTTCTTAAGAAAATAACACTGACGACGTCATGACGTCCACATGGCGTTATCAAATTTCAACGTAATGATTCCGGTACAGCGTTAAGAATTGTACATTTCTCAACCTTAAAAATTTATATTCTTTTATATAATTCATATTTAAGTCTATTTCACTGTTTTTTTTATTTAATCTGTTCTAAACCTTTCAGGAGATAATTTTCCGAGAAAACTATTTCACCCAGAAAGCGTATTAATTGTAAGAATTTTTCCCCTCTCCATTTCTCTAAAATTCATAATATTAATTAAAATACTAAATTAATTTTGAGATACCAGTATACCATACAATCATGCTTACCTTTATTTACTTATTTGGTATATACATGTACGAAAATATACATACATAATTATATGTATACACGCTTGAAGCGCAAGATGTGCTTTTACTGCGTATAAAATCTTGACTGCAACATAATTATCACAGTTTTTATGCGAGCATTTTCCTTTAATTTTTTTTCTATTAGGCCTAAAGATTTATTTTTGATTAAGCTAAGACATTATCTATGCATTACTTTGTTTCGGTTTTATTACTACAGTATAGTACTTTTTTATAGTATATAATCATTATTGATATGAAGCTTAATAAGGTTACATATTTTTCAAAAATAAAGAACCGACAAAAATATTTATCTTACGTGTCTGAAAGAGAAAATATTCTCAACAATGACAGCTATGTCAACCCCTGTCCTTTTGACAATCACGCATACTCTGTATTTAGTATTTGTGGTAGTCGGGTCGGTTATTATGCTTCTATGATAATGTACATTGCACATGTATAATTGTAACGTGAAGCGGTCACCCATCCAAGGGTTAAACAGGCTCGCTATTGCTGAAAACCTGACTAACTAGCGAGGCAGTTTAAGTTACATATATATACTGTCCGCTACCCCCCCCCCCCCCCCCCCCCGCTTACGGAAGCTTCGACCGTAAGCTTAGCATGAGCTCTCTGAGTGACTGGACCTCTTCAGTACCGGCAAATAAAGTCGTCCACGAATTCAAAGTCCGTACCTGGACACAAAGTCCTAGCCTTAGAGCTTCTTGATGCTAGCTCTAAGACTTCCTGATGCAAAGTCGCCAAACAGCAGAGTCACAACGCTGCCATCAATTTTGTGAATTTCCGCGATTTTTAAATAGATACGGTAAGCACTTTATACGCCCCCCTTTTTTCCCAAAGATATACTTAGCATAGACATTGAACATTGCTTCGTAGGTTTAGCCCCCCTCCCCACTTTCAACAGACACGTCGCAGTATAGGTTAAAAATGGGTGAAAGTGGTGGTGTTTGGAAAAAAAATTTGGTTCTGAAGTTCGCCCCCCCCCTTTCCCCCCACGAAATAAGAATTTCATGTTTGGGAAATGGACATTCCCCCTTTTTTTGCTTGTCAGGTTTTTTTTTTGAAGGTATAATTTTTTTTTTTACACTTAGCTCCCCCCCCCCCCCCCCCCCCCCACTTTCAATTTGTTTCCGACGCCAATGCACTTATCATCAAACGGTTGCTAAAATTACCTGCATTTACATGTATTTCCCTCCTTATACCGTATAGCGGGTTATTTTAGCGGGGTGCTAATTTTGGCTTATTTTGGCGTTTTGCTGATGATCCGCTAAAATTGTAATCGCTAAAATAGTCATGATTCTTTTAAGTGTCTATCTACAAAGAGCTGAAACCCTACGTCCGCTAAAATAAATTACGCCAAAAATATTCCCATACCTTTGAGTAGGAAAAACGCCAAATTTTACACCCGCCAATAAAACCCGCTATACGGTATGTGTACAAATGCATACACGTACGAGACATAATATACGATGAATTTATTTTTAGAAAGTTCAATAATTTAAAGAATGTCGATGTGTCTTACCGATCGATAAAACCGATGTATAAGAGATTGCTGTAATTGAAACAAAATAATAAACATCTCAAAAATGTGAAATGACTTAAGACAGTGGTGATCAAGGAGAAACAGATTTTATTTAGCTCTTGATATTTTGATAATTGTTGAAAACTGATTAAAATATACATTAAGTGCAACAATTTAGGATAGGCAAGATTTCCTTTGACTTTACATGTTATGAAGGTTTTTATATCGTCTCTGAGCTCAATATCCTAACGAATATGAATACAGGATACTTGTGTGGAGACGTTGTTGTATGAAAATTGTGATCAATTAAAACATGACACAAAACTCGGACCTATAGAAAATCTAGAGGTGGGATCATCTAACAATCAAGCTCTGTCATAAACGTGATGACTTAAATTTTTTTATCGTCAACTTCCCTTACTTATGCAGCAATATACTTTAATCACCTGCATATGGAGTTTATATATCTCAGTTGAGCATGCTCTATGTATGTACAATTTCTAAAAAGAAGTAACTTTTGACAAACATGTTGATGAAACAAGGATATTCACAATCTCGTTTGAAGTCGTCATTTCGTAAGTTCTATGGTCGAAATAATGACATTGTCAGCAAATACGATTTATTATTGAGTCAAATGCTGACTGATGTTTTATACAATTATTTATACACTGAAATGACGTCCAATTTTTCCGTTATTTCCCGATCATGTCAAGGAGCACACAGCGGGTGTGACCTGTCAGGAGGAGATGCTCACTTCTCCATGGCACCTGACTCCACCTCTTACGTTTTGGAGATCCGTGTTTGCTCTGCTCATATTTTGTATTGTTTTATGGACTTTGATATTCAATAATGTTCGTTATCTCTATATCCTTCATCATTGACAACTCCTTTTTCAATAAAAATCGAACTCGTAAATGAAATAACCTTTATTAACAAAAAAACATTTTAGTTGTACAGATGCGTACTCTGAAGCTGATATTTTTAAGATGCTTCAGTTTCTGATTGACAATATCTATGTTGTTTTTAAAGACCAAGTCCTCCAACAATCAATTCGCATTCTCATGGGCACAATTTGCGCTCCGTTATTAGGAATCCCATTTTGGATTCATATGAAGCAGATATGTTTATAATCTTCGAAAGAAGAAAACACGCTATAGCTTTCAACCATACATTAAGATATATCGATGGCATATTGTCAATTAACAATGGTAATTTCAGTTCTTATTTTAAAACGATTTATCCCAGTGAACATGAAATAAAGATGCCGCAGAGTCTAACACACCTGTTTCATATTCGTACATTTTACTTGAAAAGGACGTTAATGGTTATTTAGCTTAATGGTAAACATGGTGAACCAACTTTTCAATGGCCAGCTTCTCTTACGTATGCAGCAATATACCTTCATCACCTGCGTTCGGGTTTTATATCTCCCAGTTCATTGAATACATAAGAGCATGCTCTACGCAAGAATATCTAAAACGAGGTAAGTTATTGACAAAAAAACTTTACAAGTACTAGCGTAAAAGCATTCCCGTTTAAAGTAATCATTTCGTAAGTTTTACAGTCGATACAAATGTTAATCATTATGCGCCATTATTCCTGGTGTGACTGGTCGGCATGGGATGCTCACTCCTCCATGGCACCTGAACCCTCCTCTGATGTTTTATAGGCCCGCCTTTCCGTTTTTTATACTAAGTGTTAGTTCATTATTTATACACTGAATTGACGACGGATTTTTTCGTTATTTCCCGATCACGGCAAGGAGCATACGGCATGTGTGACCGGTGGGCAGGGAATGCTACACCTCCATGGCACCTGATTCCATCTCTGATGTTTTGGAGGTCCGTGTTTGCTCTGGTCCTATTTTGTATTGATTAAAATGATCTTTTGTTCGTTTGTTTATATCTCCATATATATTTCAATCAAGGCATCCATTAAACTAGTTTTAGAGTTCAATATAACAAATATTTCTTTTTATCAACAGGAATCCAAGAATGAATATCTCTGTTAAATGGTAAACTCTCTTTCTTTTAATAAAAAGACAATGTTTCAGTTTTAGTTTTATTAGACATTTGTCGTAGTTTTTTTTACAAACATTAGAGATGTTTAGAAAATTCTCATTCTAAACGGTTTGACAGGTATCAGGATTGATACAGATTGCTCAGTCTGTGACTGTGTTGTCTCCGGGACTCATCCTTTGTTTTGTTCCTCCATCTCTTTTATTATAGTGATTGCCTGAATAAGAATAAGAATACATTTTCATTCTGTAAAGGGATAATGAAGTACCATTTAGCATGTTTTAGCTCTTTTATTTAAAGCTTTAGTGATAGTGAAATTCTATTCTGAGATATTTTCTACTAAACTAACATGTGAGTTATGAAATTGTAGAACTGAATTTGCATAAAATTTTTAAAAATGAACACTATATCAGATAAAGAATGGCATGAACATGTAATTCTATTTATCAAAACTCAAAATAATACCTACCCACTCATAAAGTTTGGCGGCTGCGGCGCTAGATTTGCGGGCCTTGGCACTGTCCATACTCTTCAGTACATCTTTAGCCCTGGTCAGCGAATCAGCCGACACATGCTTCACGTCAAATTCACTCAGAGTCACCTCTATCTTACGTAGGAGTCTCTTCTGGCTTTTCCATTCCTAGATAAGAAAGAATAAAACATGAAAAAGCACATCTTTACAATTTATAGTATAAAAGTATCCTAAATTTTAAAAGTAAAAACTTTCAAAACGTCTCAAAGATTACAAGATTAAGGAAGTACAAGTATAATTTACGAGGATATCCTTTTCGTCTTTTCCAAGAATAATATATGTAGCATGCATTATGACTAAAACCGAATCCGGCGGGTCGTGGTAGGTTCGCAGTTCTTCTAAAGCTGGAAAAGAATTAAATGATGTAAGGAGCATTAGAGAATGTCACAGACTGGTATAAGGATTACTGATGGCAGACAAACAGACTTTCTCTTCATGTATCATTAACCTTTCCTGAGTGATATGTGATGCATTTTCCTTTCAGCTTTAGCAACCTCCCCAAAGTCTTTTCCACCACTTTTCTGGAACTCTTCTTTGGCTTTCTGAACTTCTATTGGTTTAGCATTTTCAGACTTTAGTAACTTCAGAAGACGCTCTCTTGCTTTTCGTTGACTTTGGGTCTGTTATGATAAAAAGTGAATCTTTAGCAAGAAAAAGGGTTAAAAATGCGTTGTAATCTATTTCAGAGACAGTTACCCTTTGATGTCCTAAAACAATTTTGATTTAAGAGAAAGTGAATATTTTCTAACCTCTGTTCTCTCCAGTAGATAATTACAAACGTTGATAAATTCTGAGGCATTGGGGTCCCGAATATAAATCTTCAAAACAAACTCCCCTTGTTCATGAAGTGGAGGGTGTACAGATACATTAACGTTGTGGCCCTTTTTCTCGGTGTTGACGGACTTTTCAAAGTGTTTTTCATTTTCACCAATTTTCCTCAATTCTGCTTTCGCATCGCTATGTTCTGGATAAGCAAAATCAAATTTCATTTCATCTTCTACCCAAGGATAAAGGCCGTTAGCGTGTGACACCACCTTGACGCCACGTTCTTCAAGTTTAGCAGACGTGCCTCCCCATCCAACGTCAGCATCTACCGGCAATGGCGCGAGTGATTCAATCCCTTTCTCGCATATCAGCTTAAACTCACACAGAGGGGCCGTAGATGTAACATGACCTAAAACTTTGCCAAAAATTTGCAGCTTGTATTCCCCTACTGCCGCAGCGGGAAACCGAAAGTCAAAATAAGCAACGTCATCAATGATGTAATGGAGAGAGTACTTCTTCATATTCGAACTCTCGAGCTCTTGAGCCTTTAAACTAGAAATCTTGTAATCGAAACTCAGTCTTCCCAACGAGATATGAGGAAATCTGATTTTTAGATTAAAAGTTTCTGAAATAGCAACTGTGCAGGCAATATCCTTATTAATGAATTCGAGTTTCAAGAAATGGAAGGCAGGGTGGAGAAACGGACGGGATTCAAAGTCTCCTAAGCTCACTGTTTTACTTAAAAGCTGCCAACGGTCATCGAATGGATAGAAAGTATGGATAAAAATCGACGGCTCTGTTAAGAAGTAAAAATCTTGTGAGAGTGCTTTGAGAGGAGAGGATACACTATCTATTTGTTTCTCGTTATCTGTAATGAACCCAGTGCAATTTTCCTCTTTTGAAGTCTGTGCCCCTTTACAATAAACAAACCACCAGTTTTTCTCTATATATACAGCGTTCCAGCAGTTACTGTGCTTCTCTTTTGTCATGACCTCACCAACTTCATATGTTCCATTTTTTTCAAAGCCGTGAATCATAACACATGGTATGCCGATTTCTCTGAAAACAAAGAAAATCAAATAAAATTAAAACTTACTTTTAAAGGCAATTGATAAAAAATATTCTCAATGAAAAAAATGAGAATTTATTTTTGGAAGATACCTTAAAGAGGCAATTGCAAGGTGGAGTCGTATGCTTTGTCAGTAACTGTGCTAATGATTATCGCAACTTATCCCAACACATTAACGCCTACTTTGTCTTTAGTCAACTGCAATATTATTTTGCTAAAAGAATATTCTGATGTACACAAATCATCTTTACTAGCCAAAGGTTTTCGGCCCGAAGATGTGTGGACCCAAAAAACCCTTGGCTAGGAAAGATGTTCACACACGTACTCTGACTTTGATATTAAAAAGATGCTTGAGTTTCTGCTTGGCAATATCTATGTGCTTTTGAAGACCAGGTCTGCGTCCCTTATTAACTGACTTATGTATTCACAGGAAGCAGAATTTATTTAAAATATTTGCATGAAAAGAGAAAATACTTCAACTAGACATATAGATATAATGACAACGTTTTTCAATAGCAACAATTATTTCCATTCATACATAGATATATATCCTAGTGAGCTTGAGATTATTATTGTAAAGATACCATAGAGTCTGACACATTTGTTTCATATTTAGATAATTTACTAGAAAAAAGACGTTAATGGTAACTTAACATCAAAGCTTTATTGAAAACCTGATGACTTTACCTTTTCAATCGTCAACTTCCATAACTTATGCAGTAATATATCCTTATTAATTGCAACGGTAGTATATGTCCTAGTTGATTCGATGCGCAAGAGCATGCTCTACTAAGAACAATTTCTTAAAAAAGAAGGTGTAATTCACAAACAAGTTGATCAAACAAGAATGTCAACAGTCTTGTTAAGGAGGCTGGTGGGTCAACAAATTAATCTCAAATTAACCACCAGATTTAACTTATTTTTTTAGATACGGTATCTTTAGCTGTCAACTATCATTTGGCAAAGAAAAAATTCATTCATTTTAGTTTTAAAATTTGATCATTTTTGTATATCTTTATATGGAGCTCTCCTTTTAAAGGAGATTGAATTAGTCTAAAAATGGCTGCCACCCCCAGCCTCTTTAAAACTAAAAGTAATAATTTTGTCAATTCTATAACGATTCGATGACCTTGTCAGATATGACGGGTTTGACCGGTCAGCAGGGGATGCTCATTCCTCCATGCCACCTAATCCAACCTCTGACATTTTAGATGCCCATTTTTGCCCTGTTCCCGATTTTTATTCTTTAAATAGACTTTGAGTTTGAATACAACTGTTCGTTATATCCATATATTTTTAGCAAGAAGCAGCTATGCTTTTCGTAATATTTATTGTATATACATAAATCAAAAACAATCACATTGAATACTAGTATAAGATTTACCTGCACATTTTGCTCATCAGGTCAGCTGACGTACCCTTCCCTTGCATGATGAGGTACAGGTATTGTACAGGAGAGTCTTTGCTCCTAGTATCACCATTAATAGGAAGCTGTCTGTTTATAATCCAACAGAAAATCGCATACACTCTCTGAAAGTCTGATTCGAAATTTCCACAGAGGTATCGTAACAGAGATTCATAACTGTTGCATTCCATCTCTGGAACCTGTATAAATAAAATTTTGACAAACAAGTATTAAATTATAAGAGTTTTCTAATAGAATTGACAGCTTCAAAGATTATTTTAAAGTGATATATGGCGTATTTTCGATAAGTTCAGACTAACTAAAATTAGAAAGATCTTTCTATTTGTAATGTTAATTTACATAAAGATAGGACTTTCCTGTAAATTACACAATTTAAATCAGACGCGTTTCGTAGATATCAGAGATTTAAAACAATAGCCTATTTATTTCCGACTCGGATAAAAATATCTGACACAGTTTAAAGTCAATTTAACCTATAGAAACGTGGGATTATTTAAGTTTAGAATTGGTGAAAATTTCAATTTGAACGTAATAACAAATATCATGTAGATCTACACTTAATCTCGTATTTTTATTTTGTAGCTCAGATACGCCATATATAGCTTTAAAAACAATACTTAAGGCACCTGCAGGGCGTGTTGTTTTACATCAGAGAAGCCACGGCTGCTGAAGACTTCAGACTTAGTAAGATGCGGTGGTTCTGGTGGCGGGTAGCCGTCTATGACGTCATCATGCTCAGTCATGGAAGGCTACAAACGAAGCAATCACTGTTGAGGTATAATTAATAGAAGTGCTTGACAATAAAGCTAAAAGAAATGGGATGGGGGATTGTGTAAAGGACTGATAATATATTCAGATCTTAAGAAAGGAGAAACTTAGAACTAGATACCTGTACACAGACCTTGCTCGTGTCCTCCTCTGCTTCTGTTACTTCTGTTTCTTTCGGGAAGTCGGTCTGTAGACATTGGTCCTCTGTTCTCTAGTGTAAAAAGACTCACATAAATTAAGTTTCCAAAAGTTTCTAAAAGGAAGAAAAATACAAATAGAGAAAAAATTCTTACAAATGCTTCAGTAAACTAAAACTATATTATTTACCTTTTTAACAATGCACACATCTGTTCCGATCGATACTTTTTCTGTATTCTCAGTTTGGAAACACTTGTCTTTTTTCTCCTAGAAAATGCATAATGAAATGTAATCAAGATTGTACAATACATGTAATTTAAAGCACATTTAAGTCTGATGAAACTTTTTCTTCGAATGAAGCAGAAAAGATTCTTACAACCAAATCAGAAGGTCCCTTGCCACCTTCAGTTTGTACACCAATTTCATTTGTTTTCTGAAAAAGAAGGCAGAAATGCAAATACTTAAAAATAGTGAGTGAAATGTGTCTCTTTAATGGAACAAGATATACATTTTAAGACTAAACCTTTTCGTTTTTGCTCTTGTTGCCAACACAAGTTAATTCCTTGTTAGGCTCTGTTCCTACACTGCTCGATGTCTTGGAGACGTCGTCCGTTTGAGACTGTTTGTCCTTGGTTATCTTTTGTATAAGCTTTCTCTCGTCTTCGGTCTGCCTCCGTTCATACTTGTGTTTGAAGCACTTGGTACAGAAGATGATCAGGTAGATGGAGACCCCGATCGCTCCCGTCACCAGTATTTCTGTAGACGTCATCTTAAAACCTTAATTAAAGACATAAAATGTCCAATTTAATTCAGTATCGTATCTCCACGATAATTCTGATTCTGCTCTCTCTTGTACTTAGAACGCAAAGTTTCAACGAGAGAGAGAGAGAGAGAGAGAGAGAGAGAGAGAGAGAGAGAGAGAGAGAGAGAGAGAGAGAACTTATTGAAGATATTTCGGTCATAAGTTTTGCAAACGTTTTTAATGTGAAACTATGGATTATGTAGTACATGTATATCATACAAGTATTATTGCTTTTTGAAGTCCATACAATTTCCCACTTCGTCCGGGGAAATAAGGTTACATTATAACTCGATCATTTCAGATGAGCTTACAGATCAAGTCTAGCTCTGTGCATGACAGTAGAATTTCAAATAAGCGAGTACATGTAATCCTAATCAGAAACGTGTTTTCGGAATTATAAGGAGTTTAAGGGGAAAATTGGGATGATTGACTGTTTTTTTTTTTTAATTTAATCTCTCGCAAAAATATCTCGTATCACCTACAGGAAACACCCTTTGTTCTAGATCTCAGCAGAAATCCATTTAAACTACTTTCTCAAGATTATTTCCCATCCTATTTTCCTTTTTATTCATTTTCTGGTTCTCTGCTTCATAATAACACCATTTTTTGTGTAATCCGTTATTTAACATTTCCAATTATCTCTTCTTTAATTAATATGCATTGCGATGTTTGGATATGCATTCATATTTTACTTTGTTAAAAACATATAATGGTCCTCTCCCTGTTTTCAGAGGTGCCTACAGTCTATTTTGTTTTACTGGTCTTTTTTGAGAATAATTACTGTTTCACTGTTTGTTTATCTTCAAATTGACAACAGATGATCCAAAATGACTGATTAAAACAATTTCGTTTTGTAAATTTAATTACCGGTTTTGTAGATAAAAAAAAGAATGCAAGCTGCTGATCTTACCTCAAATTATTATCCGCAGTGTTTGCAAGGACATCCCTTTAAAACTCTGCACATTAAGTTAAAACCTACAGATCTCAGAATTACATAATATACATGTATTTTTTTCTCTACTTGACCGAGTTAATTTGTAAGGTCTCCTTACACCAATAGATTACTCAGTAGTTTGCACTTCTATACCAAGACAGGAAGTCAAATATTACACAATCTACACTTGCTGTGAGAGTTATAAAATTTTAAATATGTTTAGACAATCAATACCTGCATTTTATATTGAGCCGTATATAGCTTTGTTAAACAAATATGAATGGCACAGATGTGATGACAAGCAAGGTAAAACACCGATTATCCGGCACGTGTAGCGTGAAAACGACAGACCACAAACTTACTCAATATTTCCTCATTAATCTACATAATTTAGTGTCACATTACATGTTCATATATACATTATATATTTTACATACCGTACTCAAGTTCTTCTTAAGTAACAAGGAAGTACAAGATTTTATCTGTGTTGCTTATATACAGAAAAAGGCATTTCGAGTAAAATCCTATTTGGAAACACTTAAATTTTTTCACTTTTATCAGTGATTTCAATACATAATTTCTCTGCTTTAAGAGATTTAACACATTGTCATTGTCTATCATATCTTTCAATCAATATAGTGATATTGTGTAAGATAAAAATGTTGACAAACATTTAACCATTAGCTTGATTAGGAAGACAATGAATTATATGGTTTACCTCGTGTGTCCTAGCTTCCCTTCATGCCGTCAGTCAAACTATACATCGCTGTAAGACTATAAATAGATGATTTAGGAAATACCGGTCTGCAGTCTTCCCGTAAAGCCAAGGTGTCTACCTCTCACGTCAGCGGAGAGTGGACCAGGTACCCGATAACAGGTGTAAAATGTACGGAGACCTGACAAGGTCACGGACTAATTCCTCGTCTGAAGGGCGTGGAGATAGCAAAATTACGGAAAGGTGTGGCAGCGAAAATACGAGTCGATGAAGTCATAGGGTGTGAGAAAAAGGACATCAATCAGCCAAACTGTTCATGAAATTTATTAGGACCCGACACTCTTAACCAAACTTTGTGACATTTTCTTAATTTTAATTTTGATTCATACATCATTATATAGTAAAGAGTGTTTCGGCGGTCTTTTAAAAAAACGGCTATATGCCCTAAGGCCCGCCTCATCAGGGGTCCACCTTAGCAGTTGTATTCTTGTGGTAAACGTGATCTAATAATCATATCTCCTATGCTTTTGTGCTTGCTATAAGCTACAATCGGTTCCGATGTAAATATTTCTTTGCATCTTGTGTCTGTTTTCATTTCATTCCAATATTTTAAGATGCGTCTTTTTAATCCTTTGATTCTCGGATTATATTTTGTAACCATAACTAATGGATTGCGGAGTTTAGATTCACTGTTGTTTTTGTTTAGCATCTTATTTCTGTCCGTTCCAGTTACGTCTGTGATAATAGGGTCTATTTCTGTATCAGAGTAGCCTCTCTTTGACAAGTGTTTCTTGAAGTCTTGTAGGATTGTGCTGAGGGTTGCATTGTCATTGGTATTTCTCATATGTCTAATGCATTCTCCCTTAATGAAACCTTTGAATACTGCTGGGTTGTGAGAGCTTTCTCTGTGTAGATATTGAAAATTATTTGTTGGTTTAATGTACGACTTAATATCTAGTTTGTTGGATTCTTGGAATTTCCTTCCTTTGTACACTGTTGTGTCTAAAAAATTCACAGAGTCAATT